ATTTCCTTAGAAAGCGGAATGATTACAACCAATGGCTGAATCGTCTATTTCGAGTAACGACTATCCCCTATACTATGGTAGAATACGCCTATATATGGGGACAACCCCTAGACACGGAACTAATCAGCTAACAGTTTTAATTTAAGAAGAGGGTTATATGGGAACTACCCCTCAGAGGGGGCGAATATTAACAATTTTTGGTAGGAAGATTTGTTACGATATGCGACTACAAAATACCAAATTTCAGCGAATTCGGTTGAAACCCAAAATACCGAAAATTGGGCGGTACCCTTATATGGGGGCTACCCAAAAAAATTGAACGATATTTATAATTTTTAGTTTAGACATTTGGTACCCAATAATTGGGGGTGCCCTTATATGGGGGCTACCAGAAAAAGAGGACCTATAATTATAATTTGCAAAATTTCAGCACCTTATCTCAATTCCTTCTGCAAATAGCGTAATTATAACAGACGGACGGACGGATAGGCGGACATGGCTAGATCGTCTTAGAATTTTACCCTGATCAAGAAAATATATACTTTATAGGGTCGGAAATGAATATTTCCATGAGTTACAAGGGGAATTAAACAAACCAAATTACAGCCAATTCGTTTGAAACACGTGTCAAAAATACCGATATTTCCGATAGTCTGGCAGTACCGTTATATGGGGGCTATCGTTAAAAGTTGACCAATATTAAAAGGTTTTGGTAGGAAGATGTACCACCTAATCCAAACTCAACATATCAAATTACAGCCAATTCGGTTGAAAAAAAAACGTATCCAAAATCGCCAAGATATCTAATATTGGGGAACTTGTTATATATGGGGGCTATATTAAAACGTGGACCTACATATGCAATACAAAACATCCTAGTTGTACCAGTAAACCAAATGTTTCTTTCCATGCATGTTTCAGTTGCAACTAAAAATTAATACAAAATTATATCGACATTTTTATTTTATTCTTTGTTTTTGTTTTTTTTAGTATATATATTATTTAAAATAATAAAATCAAATGTTAACTTGAACTGTGTCCTTGTTGTTGTTTGTTTAGATTTAATTATTTGTTGTGTGGGTGTGGTTGGTGCGTGATCTTAGTTAAATTAATTACATAAAAATTATATATTAATTAGCATTACATACTCCGTTAGCTTGCATTCTTCGGTTATATATCATATTAAGAGAGAAAGAGATAGAGAGTGTGTATATAATAAATGAGAAAAGATAGAGAGTTAATTTAAATAAAAAATTAGAAAATATTAAACCCGTACACCATATTATATATATAAAAAGAAAAGTAATAAAAAAAACTATTAATCGAAATGTGAATATCTGCAAATTGTAAAAACAATTATTAAGGTTGGCATTACCTAAAAAAAACTATTAATCGAAATGTGAATATCTGCAAATTGTAAAAACAATTATTAAGGTTGGCATTACCTTTTTCGTTTGCTCATATTTTTCGTGCATTTTCTTTTTTTTTTTTGCTTAACTTAAATTTAAATACAATATAAAAAATAAACTTAATATATGTTTTATATATGCCTTAATTAATTTTTTATAACAAATTGTTTGTTTGTTGTTGTAGATGGTTACTAATGATGATCATAATGTGTTTGTGTATGTATGTCTACTTGAGTGGAAGGTAAGTGGAAGAAATAATATATTGTAATATGTATATGCACTACTATTTCACATGTGTGTGAGTGTTTGTGTGTGTGTTTTCTTTTTCTAAACTATTTTGTGTTGTTTTATGACGGATCGTTGAAAAACAAAAATAACTATGTATTTTCCATGTAATATAGACACTCTTACAACTATTAAAATAAAAAGCATTTAAAAGCCTATAGAATTGTCTTTAAAATAGGAAGTGAATAATTGAAATTGGGGGGATATAGGAGTTTTATAGTCATAAGTGGAACTGCATGAAGATAATGAAAATAATATATCAAATATTGTCTTTGAAAGAAATAGTTGTTATCGAATAAAATTCCTGCGAGGAATGTTACCGACGAACAGTTGCTATTTTTTTCTATAATAACTATCGACCAATTTTTCTATAGAACAATTGCTCAAGAAAAAATTTCTTCGAACAACTCTTTCCTCATGTGTTATCGAACTATTTTTTTAGATTAAAAAGCATTTATCGAACAAATTTTCTAAAAGAAAGATGGTTATCGAACAAAGTTTTGTATGAAATGTTGTTATCGAACGACTTTCCAAAAAGAAAACCTGTTCTCGAAATGCGTTTTCTTAAGAAATATTGTTATCGAAGCATTTATCGAACAAATTTTTAAAGGAAAGATTGTTATCGAACAAATTTCCTAAAGGAAAGATTGTTATCGAACAAAGTTTTGCTTATGAGAAGTTGTTATCGCACAACGTATCTGGATGAAAAGTTGTTATCGAACAACGTATCTGTTTGAAAAGTCGTTATCGAACAACATTTCTTGAAGAAGACATGTTATTAAACATGAATACTTAAAGAAAAGCTGTTATCGAACATAATTCAATTTTAGGAACAAATTTAGTATTCAAATTTTTTATTAAACAATTTTTGAAACATCGAACAATTTTTTCTAGAAAAAAAGTTGTTATCGAACAAATTTTCTATATGAACAATTATTTTCGGACAAAATTTTTGTATGAAAAGTTGTTATCGTACAATTTTTTTAAAAGAAGAACTGTTATCGAACTACTTTCCTAAAAGAAAACATGTTATCGGACAGCGTTTCATTAAGAAATATTGTTATCGAACATCTTTCGTTATGAAAAGTTGAACAACATTCCTTAAAGAAAATCTGTTATCAAATATGATTAATTAAAGAAAAGCTGTTATCGATCATAATTCAATTTTAAGCAAATATTGTTATTGAAAAATTTTTGTATTTATTATTTTTGAAATATCGAACAATTTTTCTTATAAAAATTTTTTCTGTATGAAAAGTTGTTACCGAACAACTTTTCTAAAAAAAGAGTTGTTATCGAACTACTTTTCTTAAAGAAGAGCTGTTATCGGCCTTTCAAAAAAAAAAAAAAACTTGTTATAGAACTTTCTTTAGGATTGTTGTTCGAAAGTTGTTCGATTTATTATCGAAGAACATTTTTTTTAAGTCGTTATCGAAGAATATTTTTCATAAAAAGTTGTTTTCGAAGAACTTATAGTTAAGAAAAGTCATTATTGAATAACGTTATGATAAAAATTTTTCGATATGAAAAGCTGTTATCTGTATGAAAAAGTGTTATCCAACGTTATGGAAATAAGAAACATTTTTTATCGAACAACTTTTCCTAAAGAATAGGCGTTACCGAAAGACTTTCCTAAAAGAAAACTTGTTAACGAACAACATTGTTATGGGAAAATTGTTATCAGAGGATTTTTCTTCATTTAAAAAGGTTGTTATCGAAGAATTTATCTGTATGAAAAGACATTATCCAGCATTTTTTTCTATAAGAAAAAATACTATCCAACAGCATTTCGATAACATTATAGTTATCGAACAACTTTTATATAAAATAAATTGTTATCGTCCAGTTTTTCTTTCAGAAATGTTATTATCGATTCACTTTTATAAGGAAAAAAATTGTTATCGATACATTTTACCCAAGGAAAAGCTGTTTTCGTCAAAGAATTATTTTTATCGAACAATTTTCTTGATGTTGTTATCGATTTTTTTATTAGAAAAAAGTGTTGGTTGCAAAAATTCTAATAAATAATTTTTTTATCCATCATTCTTAAAAAACAAAAGAAAAATTTTGCGACCACATTTATAGCAAGCATTTATTTATAGCATATAAATGAAAAGATTTCCACAAATCTACACTTTCGAGTTTAGATATCTATTGTTTTGAGAAAATCGATGTGCAATGAAATAATGATGAAGACGGTAGAAATATCTTTAAAATGTTTATAAGTTTTCCAAAGGTTTTTCCTTTTTGAATAAAGAATGAAAAACAAAAAGAAAAACATTAATTAATACCAAAAACAAAATGATCTAAATAAAAGCTTTGGTTGTATAATTGGTAATTAAAAAAAAAGAACACATATTTAGATAAAAATAAAGGTGAAGATTGTAATTTTGTTTCGAAAAAATAATATTTACATTAAACCTACAACAGGTTAGGTATGTTGCCCTTTTCGTTTTCATTAGTATTTAAATGTTGATCCCTTTGCATTAAATTATGTTTAAATACTTCTTAATTGTTTTTTGTTTTTTTTTTTAGTTTATTGTTTAGATAGTCCAGATATATTGCATAGAATTGCAAGATTCAATAATGAAAACCTTTTTCTCCATCCATCCATAATTTGTGTATACTTGTTGTTTTTTTTAGTTTAGTTTTGTTTTATGTCAATATTCAGCAAATCCGTATTTTTTAGATTTCTTTTCAATGTTTTCCGTAATTTGTTTTGTTTTTTATTATTTGTTTTAAAAGCTAATATTTGTTTTTTTATTATAATTATTATAAAATAAACATAAAACTTAAATCTAAGGGAAAATTATAAATAATTTCTTTGTATTTTTTTCTTGCTTTGTTTTGTTGTTTGTTTCATTAAAATAAATGAAGAATTTTGTTGAATTATTATCTACTATCATATATTTCTCCAAAAGAAAGAAGATTTTTTGTTTTGTTTTCAAATTAGTTGCAATTGTGTTTTTTTGTTCTCACTTGATTGATAGTTGTCACTTTGTTGTTTAGCTTTTTTTCACAAAAAAATGATTTGATTTGTGTTTGTTGTATTGTGTGTTCATTTGTTTTCTTTCTTAGTAGAAGAGGTTTTTGTTTAATCGGTAAAATTTTCGTAGTTCTTCTTTTCTTGGTTTTTGGCATTTTGTTCTTTCATAAGAGGGTTTTTTTTTGGGGGCGGGGTTGTATTTTATTTGAGAGAGAGACTGGAGAGTTTGTTTATCGCTCTCCATTTGCTTTGCTAAGGGAGGAGCTCTTACTTTAAAATATTTTTTAAAACAAAATATGTATACGAACGTAATCAGTAATTTAGGCAAAGTACATAACCTTTTTGGTATCCGCATGTACAGTAATGGCACGAGCCATTGCTCCGGGTGTACGATCCTCAGAGCAGCCACTTTGATGGGAACCTTCACCAGAGTCATGTTCCTTTTCAACTAAATGATATCTGGAAACGAAAGGAAATCGAAAGTTAATGGTTATTAATATAAATAAATTTAAATTCTGGTGTGTATAGAGACCACAGGTCTTTATAAAGACCAATAGGTCTGTATACAGACCACAGGTCTTTATAAAGACCAATAGGTCTGTATACAGACCACAGGTCTTTATAAAGACCAATAGGTCTGTATACAGACCACAGGTCTTTATAAAGACCAATAGGTCTGTATAGACACCACAGGTCTTTATAAAGACCAATTGGTCTGCATAGAGTACTTCTGGTATACAACTCTTGGATATTCTTATAGACCTACTTTTTTATATTTAAAGTCTAGTAGATAACAAACGTACCTTGCTCTAAAAGCTACCAAATGAGCATAATAAGCTGGCGCAGGTATCGAAACAGAACGGGTACAACGGACATAAGTGTGACACAATTGATATGTTAAACATTGTAGCTCATCCGAATCGAAGTGATTGTCATCCCATAGGACATGATAATGTGATGGTCTACTGGTACCCTGCATGAAAAAAAGGAAAAACAAAAAACATTTTTGTTTAATTCTGTTCAATTCCGATCAATTGTTCCCCAGTGCCTTACCTGAATACCTTGATGACTGCACAAATAGAAATCGAATTCTGTGGGATGTGTTATGCCAACATCGACAGTTGTACCCGCTGGTATATTACCCGATTTACCACTTTGTTCCTTTTTCTCGGCACAGAACAGTCTGGTATGATGCCGTTTTTGTACAACAATAAATGTAATACCTGGACGGTATTCAGCCTCTAATTTAATGCACGCCTCACGAATTGCTGTCAGCTCATGCTGTAGCACGTGAGGGAATTGACCCTCCGAAACACCATCACGATATAAAATGATACGATGTGGTTTATAGCCACCAGTCGATTTATAGAACATAATCAATAGTTCACGAACCATACTCGAGAGTTCTTGGATGATTTCCTGACGATGTTGTTGGACACGCACCGTGGCCGCATAACGTGATGGATGAGCATCCATAGAACCAACCACAGCAGCAATGGAGGGTTTCTTATTATCACCGGCCGGGGGATGGGTGACATCAGCACCCAAAAAGATGACGGGTTCATTAAAAACTTTTGGTCTAATTGAGGGTACAAGAATGGAGTTGATGCCACCCAGCTTAACATTGATTTTGAGACAAAGATTGGATAATGTCTGGGGTGATGTTTTGTTCACGTTCTTTGCTTGGACACATTGTGTGGCCATACCCAAAACAGTGTCACCAACACGTTTTACCTCAGCTGTAATGCAGAAAAAAATAAAAATTGTTATTCTGAATAGAAATGTGCGTGCGTATTAGGGTGTGCCCTACCATAAACTGGTGTCTTGCCTGGCAAGACCACAACAACCAATTGCAAACTGGCAAATGATTGCTTTAGATATTTAAACATCGGTTCCACCTGATCTGGCCCCGTGGCATATTTACAAAAACATGGCTGGCCTATAATTGGCATACCCGCATCGTTGGATATCTTCTGCAATTGTTGGGTAAAATTACGTAGAGCATCTTCGCGCACGGTACGTTGGGGAGCAAAACAGGCAATGGCCCAAACTCTTATCTCAACACCGGTAAAGAATTGCTTGCCACGCATATCCCAAACACCTTGATTGGGCGAAGCTAAGGACACCTTGTTTTGTGGTGGGAAAAGTTGCTGCGAATGAAGACCACATAAAAACAATAGTTTAAAGTTGAAAAGGAATTCATACTAACCTGTCCCGTCATGCTGGAGACACGGCCACCATATTGTAGCTTCGGTGGTGGCAAGACACGACCACGAACTTCCATCATCGAATTGGAAATGGTTAGACCAAATTCCTGTACATAGGAATCATTGTTGAAATCGGCACGCTTAACTAAATTATTGATTTCTCGCTCACGATCGGGTGCTGAACGTGCTGTGGCCTTGATCATTGTTGAGGTTTGCATATCGGTCAGCTTTTTAATACATCTCTGGCCGGCCACAATGTGACACACTTCCAATGGCAAATAGGTGTGTTTGTGCTCCTGGCCCACCTGCAGACATGGCAAATGGGGGAAACGTAATTTCATGCGATATTTATCGAGGAAATATTTGGCCACAGTACATTCGACAGTTTGGCCATTTTCAAGTTGTAGGGGGAATCTAAAAAATAGAATAAATTGGATTACATATATAATAAAGATTTCTATGCGATCTAAACTTACGATTGCATTTGTGCTGGCCTTCTTGTGACATTACAGACACGATATTTGCGTCGCATTTGCCCACAGTGGGTAATTTCGATTTTCAAACCTTTGATTTCCTTGGTGAACTTGACACGTTGTGAATCCGTGAGAGGTTTACGCTGTTCATTGATATCTCGTATATCCAAAACTTCACACATGAAATCAATGACCGGTTGGGATTTATAGAAAGCCGTGGCCGAAACTGGAAGAAAGAAAAATTATTTATTTTTTTAAGAACTTATTCCATTTCGCATTCTTACCATCAATATTCAACATCATTTTCCATTGTGATGGACGTACACTTTGATGGAAACCAAACCATACCTCACGACCACCACCCAACGGATGATAGTAGCCATCCGGTGAGCTAAAGAAACTTCTACCCACGGGTGTATATGTCATGCTGGGTAAATGCCGCATTACTACATCCAAGGCCAAAATGGCATCATAGGGTATTTGACGTGTACGTCCCTCCAACGCCTCCTCCAAATTGAACAGTGACACCTGAGCCATCCACTTGATCGTGACACGGAATATACGATCCTTACCCTCACCCGGCAACGTCACCTCCAATTCCAAACGATCATTGCCAATTGGCAGCGGGTCACGTGTATACAAATTATTACGGCCATCGAATACTGGCTTTATAACACCGAATATTTTACCATATGCCGATACCATAGTCTCAATAATTTCACGATTAACTTTTCGTGGACATTTATCCGGTTGTATGTTGATGTCATAGTGATGGACATAGCCACGAGGCATACTAACTTGAAAATGATTGGCTCGCAGTACAATGGGCCGGCCTTCACGGCCCAAATTTGGACGGCGAGGACATGTAAATACAGGCAGTTCGGGTTGAGTGGGTGTGGCGGCCGCAGCAGCTGTTGCTGGCGTTACAGTTGATGAAGCACCTAGGGCCGAGTCAACAGCTGCCTGAGTGGATGAGGCTCCACCGACGGCACCACCTACAGCAACAATAGAAGCACTTGGGCTAGTTACAGCGGTGGGATTCACAGATGAACCAGGTGCTGGTGGTGCTACAAAAAATTAAGGGGGAGAAAAAAAAGAAATCATTAATAGAGTTATCAATTGAGGTTAGGACGGACATAACCTCAAAAAAAAAAAAAATAAAAAAACTAAACTACATTTAATATATTTAAATGGAAATGAATGGCATGCAACAACACTTTTCTTCTAGCAATCTTTTAGAATTTGGCAACATAACCTCAAATTTGGTAAACAAAGATGCATTTTTAATTTGAATGTAAATTATCCCGAAATCGATTGGAGTCTAATTTGGCAATCTAACATTATATTTGGCAACCTTAGTTCAAATTCTGCAAACTAACCTCAATTTTGGCAACCTAACCTCAAATTTGGTAACCAAAAGTTTCCTCATAATTTATTAGCAATTGAGCCCAAAATCGAAAATCACAGGTTTGGAAATCCTAACTTCAATTTGGCCTTTATAGAAAATAGACACAAAGTTTAGTTTAATTAGAAGGTTGGATCTTAAAAAACTAACCCCGATCACAATTGATATTCGGATTTTATAGAAAGCACAAATTCCGTTAGGAGAAATAGAGGTGTAAAAAATTTTCCATTTGGATTACTGTTAAATATGGAAGACCCCTACGATGGGATATCGATTATATATTGAAGATGTTCAGGCCGGCAGTCTTCTATCAGAAGGAGGAGTGCTTCTATATATAGAAGACTTTCAGGAGAGATAAAAGTCCTTTAAGAGGTCTATTATGAAACAGAAGACCTTCTACAGACCTTAAGAAAGTGGGAGGTACTTCCAAGTGCCTTCAGGAGGTGTTCTATATAGATAAACGACCTTCAGGATGTTTTCAATAGACCTTCGGGATAAACCAAAGCCTTTCCAAATGACCTTGTGGCGCTCTTCAGGAGATCTTCGATGTATAGAAAAACCTCAAGAGATCTTCTATAGATAAAATGTCTTCAGGAGGGTTTACTATTAAAGTTGGAAGACCCTTATGTATGTCGATTGTAGATGGAAGATGTTCAGGCCTTCTTCTATCAGAAGGATTTCTATATATAGAAGACATTCAGGAGAGATAAAAGAGAGCTAAAAGTCCTTCAAGTGGTCGTATATGATGACCAGAAGACCTTCTATAGACCTTAAGAAGGTGGGAGGGACCTCCAAAGGGCCTTCAGAAGTTGTTCTATATAGATAAACTACCTTCAGATTGTTTTCAATAGATCTTCGGGATAAACCAAATTCTTTCAAAATGGCGCCTTATGGCGTTCTTCTATAAATAGAAGCTCTTTAGGAGATCTTCGATGTATAGAAAACCTTCAAAAGAGGTCTTCTATAGATAAAATGTCTTCAGGATTGTTGTAAAGTTGGAAAGCCCTTGAAGATGTTCAGGAGGTATTCGATAGATTAAAGTCCTCTAAGAGGTCCTCTATGATGGACAAAAGACCTTCTGGAGATTTTATATATACATTCAGGATGTGGAAGGGATTTCTACGTATAGAAGACTTCCACAAGCCTATAGAAGGTCTTCTATATATAAACAAACTTCAGGACGTTTTCTTCAAGAAATCCTCTATGATGGACAGAAGACCTTCTGGAGATTTTCTATATAACTTCTGCAGAGGAGAGAGTTTTCTGTAGATAGAAGACCTCCACAATAAACGACCTTTAGGAAGTTATCTTTGTACCTACGGGATAAACCAAAGGCCTTTCAGAATGACCTTACGGCGTTCTTCTATAAATAGAAGCCCTTCAGGAGATTATCGATATATCGAAAAGACAAATTCAAGAATACTTCTATATCTAGAAGACATTTAGGGGGAATTCTACCGATAGGTGCTCTTCAAGAGGCTTCTGTTGATGGATGCTTCTCAGAAGGAACTCCCAAAGGAGGTTATGAGTTCCCAAAAGGTAAAATACTGTACGGAAGACTTCCTAAGATTGAAGTATTTAAGAAGGATTTTATAGACAGAAGACCATCCAGAGAGGTCTTCGTTCAAAAGGTTTTTTTTATAGGGGAAGACCTTAAATAAAATTTTTAAAAGCCGAGGCTACAAAACTGGTTTAAACAGAAAAATTATAGATATTCTTACGACTATAAAGCGATACTTTTTTAGAAATCAGATACCCATAAAAGACATTTTGATATTGCCTTATTTGGGCACGTAACAAATATCCCTGTGAATATCTTCTAAACTACAATACAATAATATTTACAGAAGAGCACTCAACACTCTATAAGCTACTGTGGTTGGTGGTTAGTTGGCATTTGACGTGTTAATAGTTTCGAAAAAACTTTGAACTTTACAACAAAACTTAAAAATAAAAAAAGTGAAAACATGGATTAGTGTGTTAGTTGATGGAATGGCTAGAAAATAAAGGCGGTGGGCGGTACAAGAAAAATCGAATCGAATACGAATTGTATTGCTTTATTTTTAAACTAATTTTAATTTATTTTATAACCGAAACCAACCACCGCCTTTATTTTTACAACTTTTTTTTTTTAGGATACAACTCAAATGATTTTTTCAATAATAACAATTTTGATTCAATTTTTTTGTTTTGTTTTTGTCGACTTGCACAAAAAACAACAATATAGATAATTAGTATATTCAAATTAGATAATTTACATGTGAGTGTATCGAAGCTAGTCTGCTGTTGAGATGGGCTCTGAGGCCTTGTGTGCGTGGGAGTAGTCCATTGTGTTTCTATAATTGAGAAATAAAATTAGAAAAATTATAAAAATAAAAAATAAAGAAAAAAAAATAATACAAAAAAAAAAAAATAAATAAAAAACAATAACCAATTAATAAAAAAAATATTAATAAAAAATATATTAAACCCCGTTATGTTATGTTTGTTGATTAGATGACATATGGGTGGTGCAAAAAGTATGGGAATCGAGAGAGAAAAAAATATTATTATGGTGATTATTATTGGTTAAACATTTATTAATATCATTTGTTTATTATTAAATATTATCGAAGATAAATATAGAAGGGAAGGGAAACAAAAAGACCAGCTAAAAGTATATACAATATTCTTATGGGTGGGTGCAGCATTATATTTATATGAGAGAAAGACTCAAACCTATTATTAATTTTCACATAAAGGAGAACTCAGTTAGGTATCACTGTAGGAAAACAGAGAGGATTACAACTTTTTGATATGCATTTTCGGAAAGGGCATCAAAAATGCTACTAGGCCGATATTTTCCGAATGCTCAAACCTATTTTTAATTTCCACAGAGGCCGCCTGACTTACATTCCATATAAAGGGAAGCTAGGTTATGTCCCACGGTGGGGAAAATGGCGAGGATTACAGCTTTTTGATATGAATTTTCGGAAAGGACATCAAAAATGCTACTAGACCAATATTTTCCGGAAGCTCAAACCTTATTTTAATTTCCACAGAGGTCGCTCGAATTAATTTTCACATAAAGGTAAACTACTGTAGTACTGTAGGAAAATGGAGAGGATTAAAAGCTTTTTGCGATTGCATTTTCGGATATGACATCAAAAATGCTATCAGACACGACCACAGGATGCGGATAGTCGAAAGTCCAATATTGTTTATTGAAGAAACAATCCCGGACAGTCAGCGGGTGTAATAGGAGGGTCGGGGAGGAAATGACCGAGTCCCTACCAAGAATTATTTGTTCACACTTAAGCTTATACCCCCATGCAGAAGCATAGTTGAATGCTATCGGACACGTCCACAGGATGCGGATAGTCGAAAGCCCAATATTGTTTACTGAGTAGCTGTGAATTGAAGAAACGATCCCGGACAGTCAGCGGGTGAAATGGGAGGGTCTGAGAGGAAATGACCGAGTCTTCTGGACCGACAGTGCGAAGGGGTTTGGGGCTGGGATGTTATGCGAACTCGTGTCCATTATTATATTTGGTTTGCCGTCAGGATTCCGACAGTATTCGAAGGCATCCGCATCGATTTCTGGTCGCCTCGATGAGTTTAGTTTCCAAGTCCTTGTCATGGTAAGCAAGCTATGCCATAGCCGACCTCAGTCTCAAACCTTTTTAAACTCCGCCAAAAACCAAGTCTCAAACGTCACTCGAACTCGGATTCGGATTCTTTTCACAAACCAACTACAGAAGGGGACGACTTTGCAACGATCTTGGGCGAGGAATACAGCGGGTTCCACCTAAGCCAGAAGAACATCCCAGCCGACATATGGGATGATAGCCCAATATCTGATGGAAAGTATGATGCTGATGTCTCTGCCATTAGCACTCTACCCTCAAATTGACAGGGCACGTCAGATATGTCAGCTGTATGTGTGGGTTCCTCCAAAAGCGGACATCTCGTAAAAACTTAGGCTTCAGTTGACAAGCCTTACTCTTCTCACAAACCAACTACAGAAGGGGACGACTTTGCGACGATCTTGGGCGAGGAATACAGCGGGTTCCACCTAAGCCAGAAGAACATCCCAGCCGACATTTGGGATGATAGCCCAATATCTGATGGAAAGTATGATGCTGATGTCTCTGCCATCAGCACTCTACCCTCAAATCGACAGGGGACGTCAGATATGTCAGCTGAAAACGTCGAAAAAACGTCGGCTTCAGTCGACAAGCCAAACGGCTACTGAAAGGAAAACTGTAAAAAATCAGTGCTACAAAGTCACCCACTAAACGTTTCAATATTTGTTGTTACTCTTTTATTTTCAATTTTCTTATTTTCTTTTATCAAATTCTCTCTCTCCTTTCAATATTCCAACACGGTTACCTACCCCAATAGCTAATTTAGTTTGTGTACCTTTGTTTATATTCTAAACTGAAATTTCTAGAAATGATTTTCATAATTAGCTGTCAATTCAATATGGCCAGACAGTTCACACATCAAATTACATGATTAGTCCTAAATATTTTATTTATTTTGGCTTAACTCTAGTTTAGTAAAAACGATCAGATTTTTCTGAAAATTTTTCCAGAGGTAGGTATTTTTACCCTAATTATGGGGATATCTTTTTTCCTTGGGGGACGTACCCGGTTACCCGGTTATTTGACCCGGAAGTTCGGGTACGGGTACCCTGTTATATCCGGTTCTACGGATCCGGTTAATATAATATGGGTATCATTTTAAAGGTTATAAAAATACCTTTCCATTGAGTGGTAATATGATGAGGTTATCTCAAACCATTTTGGAGATATAGTCAACAAACTGGGTTTTGGTCCCCGATTTTTTTGAAAAACTCCCTAAAAGTCGAACTTGGGCCCATTATAGTACCTCTCTAACCCAAACTCAAATGATAGACCACAATTTGCCCTTTCCAAAATGGTGCGATATGTGGCTGTATCTATTGTGGATCAAAAGATATGGGCCTTAGAACCCTACAAAAAAAAGAAAATTCTGTCGCGTAGCCGGTGTTGGTATCTGTCCATAGGAGAAAGTCTTAAATCCCCGGCCGAAGGCCGGCTACACAAAAAATATTCTATTTAGAAGGATTTTCTGCCGCGTTAGCCGGTGTTGGCATCTGTCCATAGGAGAAAGTCTTAAATCCTCGGCCGAAGGCCGGTCACCCAAAAAAGTATTCCATTTAACAAGAGATTCTGTCGCGTAGCCGGTGTTGGTATCTGTCCATAGGAGAAAGTCTTAAATACCCGGCCGAAGGCCGGCTACACAAAAAAATATTCTATTTAGAAGGAGTTTCTGCCGCGTTAGCCGGTGTTGGCATCTGTCCATAGGAGAAAGTCTTAAATCCCCGGCCGAAGGCCGGTCACCCAAAAAACACCATGCTATTTAAAAGGAGATTCTGTCATGTAGAAAGATTTTCCTTGTTTTATAGGGTTCTAAGGCCCATATCTTTTGATCCACAAAAGATACAGCCACATATCGCACCATTTTGGAAAGGGCAAAACAAGAAAATTCTGTCGCGTAGCCGGTGTTGGTATCTGTCCATAGGAGAAAGTCTTAAATCCCCGGCCGAAGGCCGGCTACACAAAAAATATTCTATTTAGAAGGATTTTCTGCCGCGTTAGCCGGTGTTGGCATCTGACCATAGGAGAAAGTCTTAAATCTCCGGCCGAAGGCCGGTCACCCAAAAAAATATTCCATTTAACAAGAGATTCTGTCGCGTAGCCGGTGTTGGTAGCTGTCCATAGGAGAAAGTCTTAAATCCCCGGCCGAAGGCCGTCTACACAAAAAAATATTCTATTTAGAAGGATTTTCTGCCGCGTTAGCCGGTGTTGGCATCTGTCCATAGGAGAAAGTCTTAAATCCTCGGCCGAAGGCCGGTCACCCAAAAAAGTATTCCATTTAACAAGAGATTCTGTCGCGTAGCCGGTGTTGGTATCTGTCCATAGGAGAAAGTCTTAAATACCCGGCCGAAGGCCGGCTACACAAAAAAATATTCTATTTAGAAGGAGTTTCTGCCGCGTTAGCCGGTGTTGGCATCTGTCCATAGGAGAAAGTCTTAAATCCCCGGCCGAAGGCCGGTCACCCAAAAAACACCATGCTATTTAAAAGGAGATTCTGTCATGTAGAAAGATTTTCCTTGTTTTATAGGGTTCTAAGGCCCATATATTTTGATCCACAAAAGATACAGCCACATATCGCACCATTTTGGAAAGGGCAAATTGTGGTCTATCATTTGGGTACTGTTTGGAGAGGGACTATAATGGACCGAAGTTCGACTTTTAGGGAGTTTTTCAAAAAAATCGGGGACCAAAACCCAGTTTTTTGACTATATCCCCAAAATGGTTTGAGATAACCCCATCATATTACCACTCAATGGAAAGGTATTTTTATAACCTTTAAAATGATACCCATATTATATTAACCGGATCCGTAGAACCGGATATAACCGGGTACCCGTACCCGAACTTCCGGGTCAAATAACCGGGTAACCGGGTACGTCCCCCAAGAAAAAAAGATATCCCCATAATTAGTGTAAAAATACCTACCTCTGGAAAAAATTTCAGAAAAATTTGATCGTTTAAACTAGAGTTTTGTTTTTAATAATTATCTAACACTAAGAATCACTTTTTTGTAAATGCTTATCTTTCTTTAAAAAATATTATTATTATCCGTAACTGTCGAGAATCACACTTGGAATTGTTTAATATTGTAAAATTTATTATGCTTCTTTCTTTCCAAGATGGTGGTGGTGAGACTTCTTTGGCCGTCGCCGTCGTCGTGGTTTTTTGCTTCTTCTAAAAGGTGGTGTTGGTGGTATGGTACGAACATAAAGTTTTTTCCCCTTGTGGTTGGCTGGTTGGTTGTTTGCGTGTGTGTGTGAATAGAATGCTGCTTCTTGCTGGCCCGTTTTTCTTTCACGACTTTTTCATTTTCAATTTTTCCACGTTAAATTTTGTAAATTTCATTGGATTTTCATGTACACGACGTTTAGGAAGTTTTACAATTTGTATTTATTGTAAAATTACTGCGTTGCGGTGGCAGTAAAACATCCAAAAATCCAATTGAAAATTTACAATTTTCTTTTACGTTCGTTCTTTCACAATATTTAAACCAATACTGACAACATTGAAAAGCATACAATTTGCGTTCATTTCGAGTGATATGCCAAAGTTGACTGCTATGAAACTGTTGGCATATGCACGTTATATGGAAGTGCAACCAAAGTAAAAAGCGTTGCACTCTACATGATGAGAGGAGATATCAACTTGTTTCATACTGGAGAATATTTCAATAAAAGAATAAAAAGGACATTTTTAAGAACTAGTTCAAAACTAGTGTAATTTCATGAAACAAATTACATGAAATTATTAATTATTAATTATTTTTTTTAAAGTAAAGCTAGCTAAAATCGCTCTCAGATTACGAAATAATTCGAAAAGTTCGGGAACAAGGTAAATATGCCAAAATTAGATGGCAATACTTCAAAATCAACATAACAGCCAATCAGAAGTTGGCATTCCGGTTTATCATTTTTATCCCGATGTTCTGAAAAATATATTCGAAAATGGATTTGTTTGAAGATTAATTTTACAACATTTATAAGAAGAAATGTATGATTTGTGACATGGTACAATTATAAAATCCCTGCTGATTTGATTGCAACGTAATAGTAGTGTCAATATGAATTTGACAAGTTATGTTTTTAAAAACAGGAAAATTGGGAACGCTATTTGAAATTTTTCTTTATTAAATGTGCTCATGTATTCAATTTACTCAATTTGACTGCTGGGAAAGTTTGAGGAAGCAAATCTTTCTTTATGGAATAACTCGCAATTCCCTGCATTTTCATATGTGTTACACATATAAGTGGCAATGGCTCTATTATAGGAAAAATATGGAAGCGATAGAAATATAAATTTTATAGATTTACATTCATATTTTTCAAATTTTATTTTGAGGATGCGAAAATATTTAATTTTCAAAATAAATATAATTTGTTGATAATTTGTTTGTTTGTTTATATTTTTCTGTCAAATGACGTTGACACTACAACAAATTTCCATGTGGATGTTGTATCGTTTGTTGTACAACAACACTTGCTGTTACCTTCTATTATTATACAATGGATTTATTTATTTTGACATTATAGACCATAACGTAGACGTGTATTTTTTTTATGCCAAATCAACCACTATATACATGAATTTGATGTGTGGCCAACCCATTGGTACGAATACAAAACAAATACGATAACTACATGCTATTCACTGTGTTATCGATTTCACGCACACATATCGAACAGATTACCATCGCCGCTGCATATGGTAGACGGGTAGTTACAAAACAAAACAGCAACACAGACACTTTTTTTAAGTTTGCAAAATAATTATAAATTAAACCGGCGGAAAAATGTCTATCTATTATAGTGGAGCCCTTAAACGTTCACAGGGTATTGTTTCGGCCATTGGTAAAGAATTGAAACGAGTCAATTTAAAAGGTGTTAATCGCGTAACAATTACATTCGATCCCTTTGCCGAAAATGTCAAATCAACGAGGTAAGAAGAAGTGTTGTTGGGATGATGGGTTTGTTTGCTGGGGAGGGAGGGATGGATGGAGGTGATGTATGAATTTGTGATGTATTTTGTATTTTCCGATTTTCCACCAACCACTTGAGTGGCGGAAAAAACGCATGCGCCAACAAAAAAATACTAATCGATGACATATTGGGGAAAATGAAATTTTCTTTTTCTGTGTGCGACCAAAAGAGATCTGTCAAAAGATTTTAGACAATACATACGGACACACATAAGTAGCAGTCGGAATTTTTTAACAAAATTTTCTATTTTGTAAATAATAATAATTACCTACAGTGCTTAAAAAGAAGAAGGCGGAGACACATTTTCCACTTACCATATACTTTACTGATAATTCCCACGGCCAAAGTTGCTCCCAAATCTGGAAAAGTCATTGGTAGGTTATGCAGTTGAGCTGGCCCACTGGCCAGCTCTCTTTCTGTGGACATTTTTGTTGGTGTTGGGGTCATTGTGTTGGCTAAAAAGGCCTCAGGGCCTTTATTAGTGGACTAATTTACAGCAACTGCACAAGGATGACCTAAAAAGAAACAATAACAAAGTTTTTAATTTTTTTGAAGGGGGTTTGGGTATCCAAAAATAGTTCTATGGTTTCTTTTACATGTTGTGTGTGTGTAAACAAACTAATATATGATTGTTTTCCCTTCTTTTCTAGAGAATTCCTTTTTCTATTATCTACACCCCGGGTGGTGCTAACAAATCCCAAGTGTGTTGTAAAAACAGACATTGTATGCAATCGCCAGCCAGCTGAAGTTAAATTTTCTTTAATAGAATCGGCACAAGGTAAGTGAAAATTAATTAAGTATTAAATAAATTAAATATTAAAAAAAAATAATTTTTTTGTTTATGACAGGTTTGTTGAAAGGATGAAGAGATTTTGAGGGGGAGAAAGGTTGAAAATTTGAAAAAAAACAAACAAATCTAACGAGGATATTAAATTGAGGTCATAGCTTTGTCATAGATTATGACAAAAAAATCGATGGAACTTTAAAGACCAATTGGTCTTTATAAAGATTTGTGATCTCTTTACATTCCAATTGGTCTTTAAAAAAATATATGGTCTCTAGAAAGCCCAATTGGTCTTTAAAAAAATATATGGTCTCTATACAGCCCAATTGGTCTTTAAAAATAAAGACCTATGGTCTCTATACAAACCAATTGGTTATTATAAAGACCTATGGTCTCATTACGGACCAATGGGTCTTTATAAAGACCTTTGGTCTCTATACAGCCCAATTGGTCTTTATGAAGACCTATGACCTCTATACAGACCAATTGGTCTTTTTAAAGACCTATGGTCTCTATACAGACCTATTGGCCTTTTTAAAGACCTATGGTCTCTATACAGACCAATTGGTCTTTATAAAGACCTATGGTCTCTATACAGCCCAATTGGTCTTTATAAAAACTTTTGGTCTCTATACAGCCTAATTGGTATTTATAAAGACATTTGGTATCTATACAGACCAATTGTTCTTTATAAAGACCAATGGTCTCTATATATACCATATAGCCATTATAAAGACCTATGGTCTCTATACAGACCAATTGGTCTTTATAAAGACCTAGGGTCTCTATGCAGCCCAAATGGTCTATATAAAGTCCTTTGGTCTCTATACAGACCTATGATCTCTATACAGCCCAATTGGTCTTTATAAAGACCTATGGTCTCTATAGAGACCAATTGGTCTTTATAAAGGCCTATGGTCTCTATAGAGACCAATTGGTCTTTATACAGACCCATGGTCTAAATGCAGACCAATTGGTCTTTATAAATTCCTATAGCCTCTATACAATCTTGAACAATTCATGTATTTTAAAATTTCGTTTAAAAAATTACTTTCGACTGCATTTCTAAAACCACTTATCCCCACCCTTTCTCTTTTCCTTACAGAAAAACTCAAAGTGAAAGACGTCCGGCTCCTGAGCTCCAATTTAAATACGCTGGAAATTTTACAATTGTGTAATCGTCACATTTCATCGGCAGCACCCGAAGAAGAAGACACCGGTAAGGTTCTCACCAAGGCTGAAAAACAAAAGATAGCTGGTGCCGGTAAAAAAATACAAAAGAAAAAGTAAAAACAAAACCGAATCAAACACGACAACTATGGTGCGACGCAGCAAACATACTGGCACTCTGGCTGTTATTGAAAAAATCTATGGTGATATACCATCGTTTACCGATATCTTCACAGAGGAATCATTTTATACGTTTGCATTTTGTTTTGTTTGTGCCTCCATACTGGTGGCATTCATATTATCTAGATATATAACAATAAAACCTGTAGAAATATAATTTCAAAATGAAAATCCATTTTCAATTTTTTCGTATTTATTTTGAATTTAATTAGGAGAAAAATTTATTAATAAAAAATAAATAATAAAATAGATAGAACAATGTATGAATAAAAAAGTTTTTTTTTTATTTCCATAAAGAGTTGTATATCTAAAAATGTAGTAGAGGGTCTTCTAGGTATAGAGGGCATTCATAAGGTTTACTATGTGTAAAAAGTCCTACAAGAGACTTTCACAATAACTTTCAATACCAAACCATCAGAAGATCTTTTATATATAGGGGCCATGATAAAGATCTGTAAAGACCTATACAAACCAATTGGTCTTTATAGCGACTGTGTCCCCATACAAACCAATTGATCTTTTTAAAGACCTGTGGTCTATATACCGCCAAACTGAGAGAAAGATCTCCATATGTTTTCAATAAAAATTACTTCGCAAATTGAGTTGTACAAAACCGCAAATGATGATTAACGATGTCGACAATGATGATACAAGGATATGATGATGATGAAGCCATGTGAAAGGTATCATTATCATCATCTGAATATATATAATAAACAACAACAACAAATATACAAATGAATGTATGCAATTACGTACATACAGTTTTAAGTACAGGCCATTGTCGACCTTCAGTTCACCTGGAATAAACCGAACGATCGAAAAAACCTGAACAACAAGTAGGTGGTTATGTATTTTGAAATCGAAATCGATATGTTTTTTGTAGATATGTATGCGCATGTTTGCGTGTACTTCATGGCATTGTAAAGATGCCACAATGAATGCGTTGAAAAATAACTTTCCAAATTCCTGGCAATTTAAACTGGTATGCGTTTACTTTTTGTACCTTCAAGTAAACCGCAACAACAACAGGAGCAGTAATTGCAATGGGAGTTGTTTATGTTCACAATTGTTGTAAGGGAAATTACATTAAAATGCCATCGTGTTCTACATTTACGAGCGAACATTAAGAAGTTATGTTGAATATCAAAAGTGAGGTTAAATTTAATATCAAATGAAAGGTTATATTTTATTATTAGCTAATGAAATAAAAAAATAGCTTATAACTGACTTTAAAAAGGAATCAGATCAGATTTTAAAAATTCAAAATGATGGATCCAATGGATTTAAAATCAACTAAAATTGCTTGAAAATTGATATTTAATGGTTTAAGGAATTGACGATGTATTTAGAACGATACTAGATTTTACTATTTTCTTCGATATCATAAAGGAAAATTCGTTATCGTAGTAAAAATTAGTTCTTGCAGTACGGGAACAGACCAATAATCTGTTTAGAAATGAAATTTTTTTGATTTATTAATTTTTGCAATATTTTGTCCAAAAAGGACAAAATATTCTATATGGAATACGTAGACAACATTCGAGAATTCTAATCCACGCGTGTAGTGGGCTTATTCTCTGAACTAACGGATTAACATTTGGTAAAAAAGAAGTAAATGAATCGGCTATGAGTTCATTTTAAAAGGCACAATACCAACTTTAAATCGTAATAAAAGAAAAACTTTCATCGCGTCAGAATTTTGGTTCACAAATGTTCAAAAAATGCTAAAAACGCAGTTTTTGAGAGTTTCAACCCTATTTTTTTTTCAAAAAACCCGATGTGATGTAGCATTTTTGACATTGAATTTAGGTTCAGCGCATAAATTAACATTGGAAATACCTAGTCGCATTCATTATACACGAGAAAACCTTTTCATTTGCAGCTCTATGTCATTTAAATTTTTCAAGATTTTCAATGGGCTGGTAAATCAAACAAATGCTCGTTAAGGTTTGTAATTGTGCATATATATATTTGAAGATTTAAAAGAGAAGAAAAATAATTTACAAAAAAATTTGTTATTGTTTTTTGTAATTAAAAAAAAGTCCTTATGGCGGGCATGATAACTCCTTATTGGAACGTCGGAATCCGAAAATGCCAACGGTGTTAGAAAGAGTACATGTCTGACTATCGTATGAACTAGGTTTATTGACTTCGCTCTAAAATTAACAAAATGGCGGACCTTTGAAAAAATATTCTTGGAAAATGGCCGATTTTTGACAAAACCAAGTTAAAAATAAGGAAGATCTTCGCTTGAAATGTTGTATGTATACCTATATTGAAGTGTAAAGTTTATAGAAGAATTCCATACTAAATATTATTAAATAGGGCGTGGAAGTTTCATTCGAAAGCGTGCGCTTTGTGTAAAAAATCTTTTTTTTTTCGTCAAAAAATTTAATTGTGTAGAATATTGAGAAAATGTCTGTTGTTTACATTCTAAATAATAATAAACTCAGGAAATTTTATGATTCGAGACATTTTTTAAAAAAATAATAATAAGTTTTTTTTTTTTCATTAGTTTATATATAATGAATTTATTATAAAATCACTTTGGTAAAAGTTAATTTCACTATTGCCGATTACAATGTA